CATTTTCACCATTTTTCATCAATAATTTGTTGTTCCGGGTCTAGGTGTATGTACCTCTATATATGTGGGTTAGTAAACACACCCGTAGCATAAGTAAAAAATGTGTGGAGGCAACGTCCTTGTTACTTAGAGTTGTTATCCTATGTATTATACTACAGATATAGCAAAGCTTAATTATTTATAAAAAAAATCTAAAGTTTTTAGTTTTTCTATCTACAAATGTACCTAATACTTTCTACAAGCATTGTAAATGGGGTTTTGTAGCGCCATTGACCAATGTTATCCTCTATACGTTTACTCGCTCAATCAATAAAAGCTGACTTAAAGTGTCATTAGAAGTAACAGGTGCGCCGATCGATCGATGTTTGGGTCACACTGTGAATGTTGTGGTAGGTCAGTGAATGAATATCTTTCACAGTCTCCAGTAGAAGGAGCATTTAGCGTATATACAGGTACCAGATGTAAAAAAAAAACTAGATCTGTTATGAGACAATAATTAAACAAACTATATAGTGTTTAGAATGATAATTATGCACTATATATTTTGTTTAATTAGTAAAAAAATGTAGTTGACAATACAATGGTATATTATTCGATGGCGAAAGAGGTATGTAAGAATCGTAGTAATTGGCGTTCCTTAGTCTCTGCCTACCCCCATGGGAGACAGGCGTGAAGTTATGTATGTATGTATGTATGGTATATTATTATAGCTCTGTCAGCTACATTTTTTATATTAAAGCTATCGATTGATACGTAGGTTAGGTAATATGATAAAGTAAATGAATTTAATTTTTTGTAAGATATTCAATACATATCCTGATTCAGATGTCAAAATGATTGTGACTTAGATTATTAAACATACCTAATTTCCTATTATTCAAATTTCAGTGATGCGGGATCTTTCAACGGCGGACGCAACTACTACTAATACTGGAAGTGCACAGCAAAATAACCCTTATTATAAGGATCAATAAGGTTTATGGATTCTAATTGTATTAATCCATAAGCTTTATTGTTCTTATTCCGTACCTCTCATGGACTGTGATATCGAAGTAACGAACAGTTACAACAATGTTGCTATTTATTAAACACTGTATTTTATGTAACTGTTATATTAATGTATCAGATGCATATTTTTTTAATAAAGAATGTGATGCTCTGTATATTTTTCTTGCTTTTTTTAAAGATAATATAATTAGTCGTTAGTAAAACTGTAATCAAAATGGGTTTGTAGGATTTTTATGTAAACTGTCGACTATACATATATTATTGGAAACGACTACATCAAATTATATGATTTGTAGGACTGAAGAAAGTCTATCTTGTTTCCTGTTTTAATTCAAATTTCCGTGCTTGACGACTAGGCTTTTACCAGTTGTGAAGTTTCTTTTGTGCCTAGCTTGGCTGTCATTCTGTCTCCAGCATTAAATTTACCAAGGGAATTCTCTTTTAATAATAACTTTAGATTTATTTCGTTGCGGAGTCTAAGATTATTCATGTCACTGGGACCCGCCGGACTTCAATGTTCCGGTGTTTTCAAGGTTTTATTATCTGTAGATTCTGGCTTACAGGAGTTGCAGCGGTTTTAGGGGTTATGGCGGGCTTGGCCCCATAAAAAAGGTGATCCTGATCAATTTTAGTAATGGAAATTAAATTAATGATATTGTGAAATTATTTTAACTCAATCCCTGGAAGATTCTTTAGGAATTGAAGGATTGTTATTCCTATCTTTGTTAGTTATAATATCATCAGTTTTACTTTCTGCTTTTAACATTATGAAGCAAACCAAAGTATATTTTATAGATAAAGAACAGAAATGGTGTACGCCAACGCAGTAGTAGGTACATTTACCATCAACTGAACTGAACTAAACCACTTTCTAGGATTCATAAAGGATTAATTCGTACGAAACATTTCCATTGATTCCCGTCAACTGGTTTACATTACAAAGCTACTCCTACGTTTGATTCTGACCTTTATGCATAGGCCACGTGTATACTGTATGTACAGTCAACTTTTGGTCTCTGTAAGGATTTGCCATATTGGTCAAAGAGTATATTTTGGTGATGATTGTTTTTGTACAGTCCAGTTCCCTTAATCAAATCATATTTAAGAATTAGTCGAATGTATGATCTTTATAAACTACATCTCACCTAAATAGCCGATTTAAACTGTGGTAAAAATGGGACACGTGAAGTGAATTCGACGCCTCATTATATTACGTGAGAACAGAGAGTGCAGATACATTTATACAATATCATACATTCTTATGAAAAATGGACTAACTTCATTAAGAGTAACAGCCCACTGCTGTACTATGGGAGTTTTCTACATAAGAGCAGGGATACGGTTGGCAGGCAGGATGGAGACCGCAGATCAACAGAAACAGGGGAAACTTACTCTTGAATGCAATTCCGATCGATCGACATTGGTATTGCAAAACTTCGTACTCTTAAGTTGCAACTCTAGTGCTCATTGCATCCGTACTGCGTGGATATTTAATGAACTAAATTGTATTGATTTTAGATTTATATTCCATACTCTGAATGCTATTTTCAGACATTCTAACAGCTACAATAGGGGTTGTATAGTTTTGACATTGAATATTTATTGGAATAAAATTGCATTGATAACTATTTATATAAATAGATATAAGATAAATACATTGGTTTCAAGAGTAAGCACGCAGGTCTAGGTTTATCAGAGAACGTTGCCTCTTGACTTTACAGCCCCTTGGTAGGCTTTACTCTCCTATGGTCACATAGCTTATAATGGTATAAGCAATGTGATGTCGCCAGATGATGGTATCTGGCGACTAATAGCTAGTTATGTATAACCAACCAGAATCACGAACAGTTACCATCAACACTGATCACACCATGCCACCCAGGAAGGCCTATTAGGTTCTCCTAATCAATAACATCTAAGTGTAATCTGTCAGCAACTGTTTCTCCTAATCAGCTAACGATAAAGTAATCTGTTACCAACTACTTCCGTTGCTAGCCCACACACAAACCTTTCTCTAGTATTTAAGATGATCTAATATAGATTTAAGGGTTGTAACGCGGCAATTCGATTTAGGTTTGTGTCGAACGCACGCGCGCTACTCTAGTGGCAACGCGCCACCTCTCAATTCCTCTTCCCCCGCTTCCCCGCCACTGACCGCTCGACGCTTGCGAGGACGCGAGGGAGACAACGAGTCCCGCGCCGGAGCCGCGACGCACGCCCATGGATATTTGTGCCGCGAATATTCTTTGAGTTTCTTGTTTTATTGTGCAACTTTGTTTACATATAGGTAGTTTAAAGTTTATTTCAATATACAGTTTACAGTCACTCGTGTGTCGAACTTTATTTCACGCCCTGAGAACCCACCACTAAGACAATCATCTAAGTGTATTACAGGGTTCATTATATATTAACGCTGATGCTGAGCATTCCTGTGGTCCTTTATACTGTATTTAACTAAATAAATTATTTTCTATTAATTGTCTTGCGTTCATATATGACGTTAAATACAAAACAAATACAAATGCTACAAATAAAATGGGGCTATATACCTCTACAATCACAATTTCAATTCAAGTGACTTAGTCGCTATAATTGTCGCACACTTTGCACTCGACGTGTTGAAAAACCGCACACAAGTTGCTCTCGGTTAAAAAGATACACTTGACGTTGGTAGGCCATTAAAAGTTTCCAATGTAAAATGAAAGTGCCACTACCTTTGGCACGAGATCCGAGAATTTTCAAAACGAAACTAGTATAAATGTGAATGATTTGAGGATTTTAGATTCTGATGAAATACACATGTGAATGAAAAAAAGCTTGGTTCTTTTTTGTGGTGTACTCTATGGAGAAGTCATTTCAAGTTGGATAATGTTGAAATAAAGACCTCACACACATAAACAATAAATAAGTTAATAACTTTTTGTTTTAAACACTGCTGACTGCCTCGTTGGCCGAGTGGTCGCAACTCGCAAGTGCGACTTCCGGGCAAGGGGTCTCGGGTTCGATTCCCGGGTCGGACAAAGTATTACTGAGTTTTTAAAAAAATCTCAGTAGTAGCTCGGAGTCTGGAATTGTGCCCGGTACATGGCAATAAGCTTACCCCCTATTACATGGGACTAATAACATAAATAGTGAAAAGTGGGTGTTACATTATACAGTGGTATAATGTGCACCTCTGCCTACCTCTTCGGGGATAAGAGGCGTGATGTTATGTTATGTTTATGTTCTAAACAACTATTTTAGCATATAAAGCAAATATAGTTGATACTTTGGACTCGTGTGCTGGCTTAGCTGCAGTAATCTGTTGTCTAAGTACCTATATTTTCTTATAATGTTCAGAACAGTCACTTAGGGACCATTGACCAGATTTCATAGTACGAACTCCTTTTAAACAAGAAGATTATAAAAAAGCTTTGGACTTTGGGCAATGTTTACTAGACGTTTTTATGTGTAAACGTAAAGTAGAATGGTTAGTTTCATCTGAAATTACGATTATTTACTAAACATTTTCTGATTGGGAAACTATTACATTACAAAGAAGTATAACTAAGTACTTCCTATTGGTTTCTAATCTAGGATGACAGTCTGTCAGGCCCTTTTGCTGTTGTACATGTTCTCACTATCTAGTGCTCGATCTTGTTTGAGCAAAAAGTTACTCTATAACGTGAGACCTATAATAAAAGGAGGGATTAGTGAGTGATAAAATACGTGCACCTTAGCAAAATTTATTCACGGAAAATATGTTACCTACGTCTGTATGTCATCATAGATCCGGAGACCAGGTCACGAAATAATTCAGTCGTCATCAACCTGCTTGTCAGTATTGGTAACAATAATTTCGGCAACACAGCAGGAGGCAGTCTCATCGAAATGTCAAATACCATTACCAAAATATTCTTCACAACTAATACGCCCAGTCTTTTATCGTGCAAGGTTCTTCGAAGGGTACTATTAGTATAAAAACTCAATGATTTTCTGAAGACATCATTCAGTGATCAATACTCCATTGAACAACATCACAAATTAAAAAGAATTCAAATGGCTGGCCTTAAGGTAAGTGTGTTATGGAGATGTGTGTAAGTGTTTTACAATCTAAACCGCATTATTATCTTTAAAATGATTGTCGAGGTCACATCACAAATACTGATCTAACATATCAAACACCAAATATATATCTTTTTCTTCTATTTAGATTGTCTCGCTCTTTGCTCTCTTGTCCGCGGCATCTGCTGGACATTTAGGCCACTTCAAAGCTCCCTCTGGGTACAATGCAGTTGGATCAAACTCTTATCATCATTCATCGGCTACGGCGGCTGCGTCAGCTTCAGCTTACATCAACAGCTATAGAGAACTTATACCAATAATCAATTATGAAAATATTATTAATAGTGGTGATGGCACTTACAAATACAGGTAAGCTAATTTTTATGTACAAACTCATTAAAAATACTCATTTAAAATTTTTCTCCAAAGTTAAACATGATTTCTTTTTTTGTAAAATGTGTGGCCAAACGTCGGCCCATCAAATATATGAAAAAAAAAAACAAATGAAACGTTATCCTTTAACCTAAGATGTAAAAATTGTCATCTATCACAGTTACGACGCGTTAAATGGCATATCAGCGCACGAAAGTGGAGCTCCACGTGCTGCTGGCCCTGAAGGTCCCGCGGTGACAGCCGAGGGTGGTTTCTCATACACCGCCCCTGACGGTCAGCAGGTGTCCCTCACCTACACCGCTGACGAGAACGGCTTCCACCCCGTCGGCTCCCACATTCCTACACCACCTCCGATTCCAGAAGCCATCCTCCGCTCCTTACAATCGAACAGGCAAATTCCTTCATCGTGAGTACAACCTATTACTTTAATAAACTTTAAAACCACAAAATAAGTTTGTTCGGTCTAAGCATAGAAAGGAGAATAAATACGAAAATACAAAAATAAAAAACACCAATTGGAAAAAATCTAGTTAGAAATGTATGGTTTCATCATTTTCCACCCCTAATCCCCATATAGACTAATACATTTCCTAAATGTTTTCAATTGACCTTTGTACCGAACACTCTTACGATGTCGCAATACCTGTTGTTGCTGAAGTGGTGTCGTTACCGCCAGAGGCATTACTCACGAGGTATGTGTGGTAGGCGTTAAACGATTGCCACGAACTCATACCGCACCATATCTGACGAGCTATAAAATCCTATTACTTACTTTCAGCCTTTCACTTAAATAACTTCGTTCTTGGTTAGCCAATTTAACAACACATGCCTCGAAAGTACTGAAGCAATGAAGCAATTTTTAGCTCTCATAATATATGGTATTTCTCTATACCTTCGGGAAATAACGGCATGGTGTTTGTTTTATTGAGCTTCTGACGTGTTTATCAAATATATCACTCATATTTTTCTCCAAGGAAGTCGAGAACGATGAAGTGTGTAGTATTTTCTTTTAAACAATTGTTAATAACAATAAGACATTGTGTTCAGAATACGTGGAGTACTTAGAAAGGAAGGCCTTTGTTGATACTGATGATGTTGTTAAATCTCTGTGTCTTAAACAAAATATTGTTTCATGTTTTCAGTGGCAACGGTGCGTACAACGGTCACTACTGAAAAGCCTTAACATATCTACACAGGACTAAACTGCTTACTACCATGTTTTAAATCATTATTGTACAGAGCATCATTACTTACTTTTTATTTTAATGTTAATTTATTATGTCAATTTGAAATACAACTTTAAGTTTAAAAAATACCATTTCTCTTTTTTTTTAAAGAACATGTTTTCTGTTTTCACACCGAACCTAATCTAATTAATCATTATGTAGGTACTTTAGTTACAAAGTAACATTTTTGTAGCGATAAGAGCCTGAACTGATAATAAAGTTAAACGTTGTGGAATACAACACGGTAGTATATGATGAGCTTATTACTTATTGCAAGGACACGACTGTATAGTGTATACTCTACGATATTTTGTAATAACGTAATAAAAATATTTTATTAAACTCGATAATAGAATCCGACGTCAAGAGACGTCTTTTGATTTTCATCTTTAATGAGTTCAATTCAAGTTATTCTGCGAAAAACAGTTTCAATCAAAGTATGTAGGTACTTTTTACAAACTACAGTCTTTTTTTAGTATTAAAAGTATATACTAAACTGTCGGTTAAATATTAGAAAAAAAAATTATGTAAAATTGATTACGACCACTCGGCCAACGAGGCAGCCGAAATACAAAAATTAAAATATGCAAAATATTTGTATTATAACTTTCGAGAGACATACTAAATAGTTAAATTATTTTGTTTCCGGCTTACTTACGTAATTATTTGACAAGGAACGCGACTAGACAAGCCATGCTAGAGGCATATATTCATGAGCAGCATTTCGCGACCCACAACGCGGCGACTGTCGCGCTGCTACTGAAACTAGTCGAGTTCCTCGTCAAATAATTACGTGAGTTAGCCGAAAACAAAATAATAAAAATATATATTAGTTTAAGGCATGTATTTAATGCGGCAACAATGGCTTGTTTGAACTAGTCCCCAAAGAAGGTTACACCTTTTAATCAAAATATTCTCATGTAAAATAAATAATGGATAACATAAAGAATAAATTGTTCCGTGCGGGAATCTCACCTGCTACAAATTCATTAAACAGTTAATAGATACAATCTATACATATAGATAAATAAAATCGGAGTGTCTGTTTGTAATATTGAAACAACCGCATTTTACTACATGAATATACATACGATACACATACCAAAATAACATATTTTAGAATTTTTGTCTGTCTGTCTGTCTGTCTGTTTGTACTGACTAATGGAACGGCTGGACCGATTTTGACAGAAATTTTAGCAGGCAGGTAGCTAATGTACTAAGGAGTAACATAGGCTACTTATATTTTGGCAAATTGAACCATAAGAAAAGTTATATCCTAAAATTCATATTCTACGCGGACGAAGTTGCGGGTAGTAAGTATATTCTAAGTGAACTCTTTACAAACAAATCTTTCCTGTTTATAATACAAGGTGCTGTTTTAAAGCCGCGTCATTTTCTAGCTAGAAGATAACTCGGTTATCGATTCTGAGTCCGAATCAATAAAAAAAATTGTAGGTATTTTTCATTTTTCTGTAAATTAAGTAACTAGCTTCATAACGCGGCTCAACACACACAAACTCAAACACGTAATTGATATTATTCCTAACTCCATAAAACTTCAATATGAAACATTGCTGTCACTTATTCTGAAATACTGTCGAACTTAAACGATTTATTATAGCCGTATTTTTAACTATTGGCCCGAAACTTTCTCTGACATTGAACCTTTATAACTTCTGTGATATGCCCCAAAAAATGACACGGTTTCAAAACTACACCTTGTATAATATTAGTATAGACGATTTCATTAAAATGTGTTTTTAATAAAACCTAGCTGTAAAGGCTTAAAATAAAATCAAATGGTAATGGTACTTTTAGTTCTTAATGAAACTCCACTTTAATTAGTTGCAATGCTATTTATAGTCTCAGACAAGCGTAATTTATATCATGCGTATGCATAGTTTTTCTTTACTTTATTAGGTGAATATTTTGATTATGAACACTATGAAGTATAGTTACACTATTCATTTATAACTATTTGATTCATATGATGGGAAGTAGATGCAGAGTAAATAATTACATAGGTAAATACTTTGGGTACAATATTTAAATACTATAAATATATAAATGAGAAAATGAATTCAGTATTTCATTCTTAAAACTTTATTAAAGCCCATAATAACAAATAACATGTAATAATGGAATAAATAGTGATTGATGCTTATAACAATGGGTGCTATACATGTTCGTTCGGTTCGTAGCCGCAGTCAGTCATCGATCGCGATGCATTCAATAGTTGTAGCCGTGGTGGTAGCGACCCTCGCCACTGAAACAAACAATTATAAAGATCCTGAATTTGTAACTGGCATACGCTCAACTTGGCGGGGCACTGCTGTGCCCCCAGGTAACATTATGTCATGCTATCAGTAGAATCAGTTAGTTTTCACCATGTTCATGTACACGATATTATCTTTGGTTCTTCTTTTTTGTTCATTTAAGAACTTTGTGAACATAAATTGTTAGGTACTGGTATCATAGTGCAGACACTTATTGAATAAAAGAAGGGGAATATTTAACTGATACAAAATAAATTCATCCGCTGTTTAACTCACGATGAACCATGTTGTCTGTTGTACTCAATGGAGCGGAGGATGGCTTCTGGGATCGGAGGTGGTGTAGGGATGTGGGAGCCGACGGGATGGAAGCCGTTCTCATCAGCGGTATAGGTGAGGGAGACCTGCTGGCCGTCAGGGGCGCGGTACGAGAAACCACCTTCCGCTGTTACTGCAAGACCTTCGGGGCCAGGAGCACGTGGGGCACCACTTTCGTGAGCTGCGATGCCATTTCCAGTCTCGTAGCTGAAAAAGGGACAAATTATAATTGTTCAGTAAATATTATTAGTTTTAGAGGGTCACTTTTTGTTGAACTTGATTGTCTTCCTACTGATAGAGTTACTCTACTGTTTCTTTTCAACCAATCTTCGGAAAGTAGTCTATACTTTCAGGAATAAATGCCGTTATTTTTATTTTGACTTAAAGTAACTGATTCATTAGTACCTGTATCTGTAAGTCCCATCACCATTGTTCACATTCTCGTATCTCAGTATGGGGATATGTGCCCCATATCCGCCATTGTAGGCTGATGCTGAGCCAGGGTTGTAAGCACCCGCACCGAATGCATTGTATCCAGTAGAGGATTGGAAGTTCCCGAGGTGGCCAGCTGACACCACGGAGAAAAGTGCAAGGGTTGAAACGATCTGAAAGTAGGAGTGAAGATAATTTAAGTATATTTTTTCTCGATAAAATTTTGAGAAAATGTCTATGAACATTTTTGTTGTGAAAATTGAACTTTATAATGTTATGTTAAGGAAAAGTTTTTTGAGAACAATGAACTTTTGTATATTGTTATAATTGAGTTTAAAATTTTAGTTGAAATTTCTTAAAACAAATCAGTTATGCGAAGTTATTGCTCTACTTTACCTTTAATCCGGCCATTTTTTGGTTCTTAATTTTTCGATGAGATGCTATTCCGTAGAATGCTATTCACTGAATGATATCTGCAAAGAGTTAGAGTGTTTTTATATTGATGTTACCCTTCCAAGAACCTTGCACGATATCAGTCAGGGCGTACTCAGTGATACATTCGGCATTCCGATGAGGCTACCCCCCGCCGACGAGATGATTGTACCAACACCAAATTCAGACAATGATTTTATTTGACGTTTATGTCAGTCTCAAGGATAAATCTTGCTCTTCTTATTTAGAACTCTCCGCCACGAGCACAAGGTCAGAGTTCGATTGTCTCGGCTACACAATTGGGCGTTAGAGATTTGACCCGCAATAATGTTGGTAGGGATGATTTTTGAACATAAATAGAGCGTCATAAAGTGTATCATTGAAGTTGTGTTTTGAAATGTTATTTTTGTTTTGTGCGATACATTTTAGTGTATTGTATCCAAATTATTTAATCTTAAATTCCACATAAGGCAATAATTATAGTTCATAGAAAAAGTTGATCGAAAAAGCTATACAACTTTTGTTTATAATTTCTCGTTTTTTACTAGTGCTGCACATTATAAGTATCGCAGGAGCTGAGTATCTATAGTCAAGTGAATGCAAGCAAATAATCCAATCCCGGATTGGTCAGAAACCCAGTAGCGTAGGTATTGGTCTTTATGAATTTAGAATAAATTAACTAAACTTGAATGTATAAAAAAATGTGTTACATTCAATACAAGCTCCTCTGCATAACCCTTTGGGAAATATACAAATATAAATATAAATATATACGATGTTGTGTTATGTTGTCTAGAAAATTAATTAGATATTTATATACGTATACAGGGCATACGCTATCGAAAAAGCTGACAAAAATAAATCAGTTTTTTCAATTACTTTCTAGTCGAGTAGTCACTTGTTAAGAGTCTAGTACGGTATATGACAGTAACTTCAAAACTTATTACATGTGACTTATAACATCACTACCGAAAGTGTTGATGTTAATGCTCTGTTATTTTTCAATTACAGAATAACACGACAAAGGTGATAAAAACTGATGAGATTGAATAAAAAACTAAACAACGCGGAATGCAATCTGAGTGCTGGGGTTATTTATAACTCATATAACTAGATGTACTCGTAAGTCGACGATATCTGCTACTTAGTGCTAAGTATCCACACCTGATATTACTTAATGGCTTTAGCCGGTTTTACTCTCCCCGGGGAACAAAAAAGTTTGCATCTCACGTCAGCGACGATCTAACAAGCTAGGCAGGATTGCAATAGGTTTTGCTTAATCACAAACATCGAACGACTATGCAGAAAAGTAATCTTAGAGCCGCCGTCCAAATTACAACTAAACGTACATCTAAGTGTATCTTACAAAATAACAGACTACTGAAGATTAGCTCACAGATACTGTATAATCAGATTACATAATGAGCTGCAATCAACAATGCCTGATGCTCTCGTGGGCGCCATATTCCGCTGGATCGCGCATTTCACAAGATAAAAACATTTTAATATGCAGTTTACTACTACGAGTGTTCTGGACCATTTAGGAATTGTTGCAGTGCGATATTTGCAAATTTTTCGCATATTTGTACGTTATCTATTTCATTTCTTAATTTATACGCATCACCGTAAAATTGTTATTTGTGTAAATTGAGCTCCAGTGTGTAATTAAAGCTTTATAAACGACTGTAATATAAATGCAAGGCCAAACGGCTATTTTTTGTGATATGGCATCTCCAAAGTATGATATTTTGAGAAAATTGAAGAATCGAAATGAGATAATTTTTCTATTTCAAAATTTTGAAGATAAATTATCTTTTTAGTATAAGTAATCTTTAAAAATGTACACGACAAGCCATTATAGACCTTAAGGGTGAAAGAATCATTGTGCAACGTGACTTGAAAGTTATATATTATTTAGCAGAAGAAAATATAATGTCTGTTCCCACATAGAAACAGGAGGACCTCTGGCTGGTTATCTTTTTGACGTCATTGCATGACACCCACGTCTGAAACGAAACCCGTGCCGAAGGGGTCGCGACACAAAACTTACGTTCGCGTCACAAACCCGATACTATTGAAATATAATATTACTTAGAAGTCAAAAACTTCGCCTATTCTTTCGAAACTTTCGACCTATCAGAGATTTAGTTAAATAATAATAATCTTCTTGAATCTTCACCTAAAATTATAAGGGCAAAGTTTTCTCTAGTCTCTCCGCGAAGTCCTATTTACAAGGAATATTATTTTAGGAGACAGAGTTAATTTATTATTTGTTACTTAGTGCTAAATGTAATGTTTCAAGGATTTTGAGGTTTACATAAAAGTGCTATTAATATAATTTAGTCTATTGATACTTATTCGTGGCTTGTGTTAACAAGTATTGAGTGACGCTACTAACTTCTGAATGAAGTTAACCTTTCAGGTTTGGTATTGTTCCCAACAGTTCTGTATTTTCTATTTCAATTTGCTAAAAGTCGTAAATTGAAAATATGCGGTTTGACAGTTGGCTGGGTCAAAACGAATGTATTGTGTACGCTTTTCATTTGTTTGTAACAATGATGGATGTTGATCAAACATCGCTAGTAACGTTTTGATTCTTAAATGTAATAGAAACTAAAGTTTTTGGGTAAATTCCTTTTTAATGACGGGTCTGTTGCGTTTGGACGGGTTCGATTCGCGCACGGAGCAATTCTTTGTGTGATACAAACATTGTTGTTCCGGGTCCGGATGTCATGTGTTGGTGTACTTGTATGTTTGTAAACGCACGCACGACACAGGAGAAAATCCTAGTGTGGGGCAACGCTTTATAAACAAAATAATTATGCACATCAAAAACTGCATCATTTTGTCATATTGGAAGTAACCAACTTAGGTACCAATAAAATAAAAGATAAATACAACAACTGTTAAGCTAA